TTTAAATGTCAATTTTAGGTTAAATGTTAATAATAATAATAATAATAATAATGAAAATTAAGTAAAACAAAAAAAAGAGTATAAAATTAGAGAAAAAAATGAAAATTAAGATGTATTGGTATATTTTAAGTGTTAAAATTTTTTATGAAATTATTTAAATATTTTTGATGAATTTTTTATATATTAATTTATTAAGAGTATTTAAAAAATTTTATAAAAAATTTTAATATTTTAGTTATCAAAACAGTTTAATTTTTTATTATAAAAAACTAAAAAATTATTTTCAATCTAAATTATATTAAATTATAAAATATTAACTTTTAAATTAAAAAATAATCTTTTGATATTAAAATATCTTTTTCTTTATTTAAAAGTCTTAATTTTATATTATAATATAATTTTTTATTTTAATTGTACAATGAGAGACAACCATCTCTCATCACTTATCAGACCTTACTCGCATGTCACATAATTCAAATTCAAAATCTTTTACTTCTAACGAAAAAAAAAAATTACTAAACTATTTAAGTCATTGACATATTATAATATAATTTAAATTTAAAATTTTTTATTTTTAAAAAAACGATCATTTAATTATTTAAATTGTTAACATATTATAATATAATTTAAATTTAAAATAAGAAAAAAAAAGAGTGAAAATTGCAAGATTTGCATCATTACATGGGAAGATGCAGTTGACCGAAACTAGGGTGGGTCCGATCTATGTCGTTTTCAGCCGAAAGGAGAGGGAGTACGAAAACCGTTAAGTTGACGATTAAATGGATTTACTTCCGCCACACGAGCGTACAAAAAAAAAAAGGGCATAAAAGTAAACTCACCAAACCAGGAGAGACAAAGGGGTACGATGGTAGATTAGCGTGGAAAACGAGGCACAAAAGATAAATCCGCCAGTCTGTCCCGCCAACGCCACCGCCCCCTGTAAATTTCTCGGTTAAAATAAAAAAAAAACAAATTTTTTTTACCCGCTATTAACTCGCCAAATTCATGGACCTTTTTTTGTTCGATAGGTGAACTAAAACTCTTCCTTGTCCTTTTCACCTTAGTTTGGACGTCTGGGTCAAATTTCAGTTGAAAATGTGTGTTTCACAGTATTTGATTTGATTATTTTTATTATTATCTTAATTTTTTAAAATAAATTAATTAAAGTGTTTATAAATATTAAAAATTAATTTTAACTTATTTAATAATAATTAAGTCAAATAGAGCGTTGAGAAATTATAAATTAAAAGTTTGACTCTTTATATTAAATGTTTTTAAATTCAAATATTAAAATGAGGGAAAAAAAGTTTTGAAAGAGTAGAATTATTGTTTATATTGTATAACCAATTATTAAATACATGAAAAAGAAAGATTGAATAAATCCCTAAATTATTGAAAAGAAAAAATGGTCCCACTAAATTATTATGCAAAGTCTCATTGATTTGTTTAACATGTAACTAGTGTTAACTCAAATTAATAATTATCTTCTATTAATAAATACAATTATATAAAAAGAGTATTACGTGCATTTAGTGTCAACTTAAATATATATATTTAATTATTTATCATATTCTTCGTGGGTCTTTCCAATATTAATAAACCCGAGTGCAGGTAACATTTCTTATCATACAAATCTAAATTTGACTATATGACGAAGTAAATTTCTAAATTATCACGTTGTTGTAGTCTCATGAGTTGCTTAAAGTGCAATATTAATTAATTAAAATAATAGAGTTTTTCGTGTGACACTAAGTAATTTACTGTTTATTTCTATAAAAAATAATGTTTAAACATTCAAATATTAAATTTTAACTCAAATAACTATCCCTTTCCCTTAATCTCAGAATGTTAGAAAAAAAGGAATAGTAGAGTTCTCCATATTGCTGGTGTCAAAAACAGTGTTTTCCTAGCTGTATTAATTGGTGGTCATAAATATCCACAGAAACAGTGTGGTGGGGGCCGTGGATGCGAGTTGGCATCCCAAGTTGGACTAAGATAAGGCTCTCAGTCTCTGGTCAGAATAATGCCTACAACAGTGGGGCCTGATCGTGACTCTGAGTTTTGATTGGATTAGAGATGATTTTGCAAAGAAGATAAAGAAGATGGCAGCCAATATCGGCAGGTGCAATGAAAAAAATGATATAGTAATGTTAAACGTGATTTATAAATTTATAATTATGATATAGTATGATATAATTAATTTTTTTAATTAAAAATTTATTAATAATTTTATTTTTTTATCTAATTATTTGTTATAATTATAAATTTATAATATCAATAAAGGATTGAATCAAATGGTAAACGGTTTGTTTCAATTTAAGTAAGATCTCGAATTCGAGATCTTGTGTACACAGCAACTTTCATTAAGAAACTCACCCACCATTTCTAAGTGCGCGATGCAAGTCGATTCGAATTAATCAAGACGAAGTCCCGGATACCGGGTGAGAAACCAAAAAAAAAAATTATAATATTATATAAATTATAACTACAAAAAAAATTATTTTGTAGTGTAAATTATTAAAAATTCTTAGAACCTGTACAATAATATTGTATATATTTTGCTTTTTTTAAAAAATAAAACAGAGAAAAAGTTTTGCCTCATTGTAAAATAATTCTAAAATATAAAATGTGCTCTTCATGCAACTAGCTTAATTTTAATATTTTAATATTTTTAAATAATAAAATAAATAAAAAGAACTGTAGCGCCTCATTCAACGGCATAATCCGTTGGATACAATACTTTCCTGACTTTTTCAATTTTTAATTTAAAATTTATTTTATTTGAATATAAAAGATGTGAGTTAAATAAAATAATATTTGTTTAATTTTTAAAAAATTTTATGTATTATAAGAGATATATTCTATTTAAGAGTTAAATATATGAAAATATGAATTTAAATAAAATAATAAAAAAATATAAATTAATTTCAATTCTTAAAATTAATTAAAATTTTAATATAAATTATATTGTTGTATTTAATTAAAACTTAATATAAAATATAAAAATTTATTTTATTAAATATTAATATTTAAATTTAAAATTAAATATATTAAAATATATAATTAATTTTTAAATTTAAACATTAATATTTAATATAATAAAATTTTAAATTTTAAATTAAAATTTTAATTTTTAAGTATAAATTAAGGTTTTTATTTTTTAAAAATAAAAATAAAAAAACCCTAATTTTAAAAAAAAAATCTTAATTATAATAATATAATGTCAAACCAAACCCTTTTTAATGGTTTCCATTACATATGGTGGTATAATTATATCATTGTCAAAAATGAAAAAGATTTTGACTGAGGTGACTGTGGTGGGGTCAGAGGGGTTACAGGCAGGAGGGGATTGTTCTCCAATCACAAGCTGAAATGACGGAAATAATAATAAAATGATTTGATTCCAGGAGCTGGATATACATAAATTGAGAGGAAAGTTCGTTGTCTTTTTTTTTTTTTTTTATGGTTTATTGATGTCACTGCAGTTTAAAAAAAATTATTGATGAATTACATCTTAATCAGTGATTAAATTTTATCAAAAAATAAAATATTAATTTTTAATTCTTAACTCTTAATCATTGTTCATGTAAAAAAAAAAAAAAAGAGGAAAGTTCGTTGTAGTACCCACCCACAGCTTGGATGAAACTAGAGCCACCCAAATACTTGAGAAAGTCTTTCTCGTACAGAAGAAGAGGAGATTATCAGGTCAGAAGAGATAAAAAGCAATTCGAAGAAGTGTGTTGTTTTGTATAATTTAAATTGTAAAATTAAGGTTATTGGATAAAATGTTTATTTTAATAAAAAAAATACAATTATCACTCAATTATTAATATTTTATAATATAATATAATTTAAATTATAAAATATTAAAAAAATTTTGTTAACAATAATATAACATGTTTGTAAGGGATTAGTATAGTTTTGCTCACCAAATTAGACCCCAAAGAAAAAATTTGGGGATTCATCATATATAAATAATTTTACAACAGTTATATTGACAATAGATGATGTGTGGGGAAATCTGTTGAATCTTAAAACTTTTAAGTTAAAACTTAAGCAATCATGAAGTTTTAATTAAGTTAAACTAAGAACCAGAACTTAGTAATAAATCCAAAAGATCCAAAACCTTGAAAATGATATTATAGACGTGTGCCAATAGTTTTTTGGATTATGCATAGAAGGAAGCATCCCCAGAAATTCAAGCTACGAGAACCAAATCAGAAATGATTAGCAGCGGAACTGAAATACAATCTCACCCTTTGTAAAGCCCTCAAGGGCCTAAGCTGGAGCCATCCATTGCAAAAGTACTAGGAAATACAATGGGTCTCACCGTAGGGCCCATTAAGATATGAGAAAATGGTCGCCCTTTTTTTTTTTTTTTATATTAGTTGCAAAATGGGAATCAAATTTCTTTAATCCTTTTATTTTACTTCACTCGTATGTCATGTTATTCAAATTTAAAATCTCTTATTTTCAAGGAAATGAAATTATTACTAAATTATTTAAATTATTGACTAATCACCTCTATTTTAAAGAGAATAAATAGGGTATAAAAGTTTACTGTTAATCAAGGCAACTCATAATCCAAACATTTTATGAGTTGATTATTCAAATTACAAATCAAATATATATAGTCAAAATAAGTAATGACTAATGAACAAACAAATCTTTTGTATGCGATTTGGAGAGGGTCACATATGATGGGCTATTGTACCGCTGCTCTGGCCTTTCATGCAATAATATTCATTTGGTTTCACATAAAAAAAAAAAAATAGTGTGTATCAATTTTAGTTATAAAAAAATTAGAGTTTTAATATATATTTAAAAAATAAAATCTCAAATTTAAAATTTAAAAATTTAATCAATTTTTAGATTTAAATATTAATATTTAATAAGATAAAAATTTAAATTTTAATTAAATAAAGATTAAATACCCTTTTTGGTTCCTTTACTATACTATAGGAAAAAGCCTCTTTTTGGTTCTTATTGTTTGAAATCCTACATCTTTTTAGTTCTTCTGTTAATTTTTGGCTGATGTGGCAAGTTAATTAACGGAAAAACTTTTTTTTTCTTTACTTAAATTACGTGGAAAATTCACCTGTAAAAATTGATGACATGGCAAAATTTTTTGTCTAATATAACCTAAACAATTATTTAATTACATAATTACCATCATAAATATTTTAAAAATTATTTTGTGAGACTTTAATTACTAATTTACTCTTATCTTCTTCCCCTTTTGTCTCATCCTCTCTTTCCTTCGGCCTTCCTTTTTTTTTTTTTCAATATTGCCTTCTGAAAATCAGATCTTGGGTTCCCTGCGAACCCAAGAGCTTGGGTTCCTCACAAACCTAGGCGCATGTTGTTATGTTACTATCGATAGGTTCGTCGCAAACCAAGGTGCCCATGTTTCTCGCGTGTTTGTGTTTTTATCATTTTTTTTGTTTAGATTTGTGATTATGTGAAATTATCTACGAAAACCTAGATTTGTGTTGCTATATTGCTATCATTTTCTTGTTTAGATCTTTGATCATGTGAAATTCTCCGCAAAAACTCAAATTTATGTTGTTATGTTGCTATCATTTTTTGTTTAGATCTTTTGATTATGAGAAATTGTTGATCTAGCATTTGTTTTTTCTTGATTTGGGATGTTTAGATGGGAAAAGATTGAACGATGAATAATGAGGGTTAAGGGTAATTTTGAAATTTTAGTTTTTATAAATTATATGTTATGTTTAATGTGTACTTGGAATGCCACATCATATTTTTTATTTTTATATTTT